TCCCGATGTACCTCACACTGTACCACCTAGTCACCCGCCTCCCTGACTCCCTTCGCACTGTCAAGGACCAGTTTCTCGCCCTCTCCCCCACTGACCTCACTGTCGACCTCCTCGAGAAGGAACTCCTAGCAGCTGAGAAGAGCATTGTAGCTGTAGGTGCCTCTCGTGGTGACCCCCGCTCCCCCTTCCTTGAGGGGTGCTCCCCCTCCCCCCTCCTCCCCTCCATTGCATCTGCTGCTGCTGTCGACTACCTCGGAGCTGAGGGGGTCGGGGTGTGAAGAAATGAGGAAGGAATGAATGAACTAGCAAGTAGGTGGGTACAAGTAGGAAAGCCTAAAAGTGTTGTACCCCATATTGTCTACCCCACTACAGCCTACACAGACTATAGCATATGAGTTTGACACACCCCCATAGGCAAAGTGGGGGAGAACAAGAGGTCACAAGACCAGTCAAGCAAAGCAAAGCAAGCTCAGGGTGGATCACAACGTCACCACACAGTCCGAGCACAAGAGCAAGGCCACAAGGCCAGTTCACATGCAAGATCATATATAAAGGTAAACAAGCAAGTGCATGTATAGAAAGATCACAGTACAAGCAAGGTCAAGAAGTGAGCAAGTGAGGCCAAGTAGGCACAAGACCTAGCATCGTACAGAAGCGCTGATGATCACAAGGCGGAAGTGCCTTGGTAAAGATATCAGCAGTGTTGGCCTCAGAGGCCACGTAAGCAAGGCGTAGCTGACCACGCTGCTGCAGCTCACGAGCAAGGAAGTAGCGAAGAGCAATGTGCTTCGTTCTGTGCTCCAGTCTGTGCTCCCGACACAAGGCCAGCATGGCCTTGTTGTCTACGTACAGAACTGGAGGAGAACGAGGCGGCTCTCCTAGGTCAGTCAGCAGGTAGGTGAGCCAGCGTAGCTCCTGTGCAGCCATGGCCCCCGCGTAGATCTCAGCCTCACAGCTGGAGCCGAGAACAGAAGACGAGCGGGTAGACCGCCACGAAACAAAGCCGGAGCCAAGGCTGAAGGTGTAACCCTGTGACGACCGCTGCGTGGCCTGGTCGTCAGCCCAAGAAGCGTCTGCGTGACCTGTGAGGACCACTCGACGTCGCCCTCCAAGCACTAGCCCCATGCCCGACGTACTGCACAAGTAGCGCAACACCCTCTTCGCTGCAGCCATGTGCTCTGGACGGTGTCTCCCACGAGCAACATAGCGTGCCAAGATGCTAAGAGGGTATGCGTTCAGGTGAGCCATCAACCCGGGCGTTCAGGTGAGCCATCAACCCGGGCGTTCAGGTGAGCCATCAACCCGGGCGTTCAGGTGAGCCATCAACCCGGGCGTTCAGGTGAGCCATCAACCCGGGCGTTCAGGTGAGCCATCAACCCGGGCGTTCAGGTGAGCCATCAACCCGGGCGTTCAGGTGAGCCATCAACCCGGGCGTTCAGGTGAGCCATCAACCCGGGCGTTCAGGTGAGCCATCAACCCGGGCGTTCAGGTGAGCCATCAACCCGGGCGTTCAGGTGAGCCATCAACCCGGGCGTTCAGGTGAGCCATCAACCCGGGCGTTCAGGTGAGCCATCAACCCGGGCGTTCAGGTGAGCCATCAACCCGGGCGTTCAGGTGAGCCATCAACCCGGGCGTTCAGGTGAGCCATCAACCCGGGCGTTCAGGTGAGCCATCAACCCGGGCGTTCAGGTGAGCCATCAACCCGGGCGTTCAGGTGAGCCATCAACCCGGGCGTTCAGGTGAGCCATCAACCCGGGCGTTCAGGTGAGCCATCAACCCGGGCATCCAGGTGAGCCATCAACCCAGGCGTTCAGGTGAGCCATCAACCCGGGCGTTCAGGTGAGCCATCAACCCCGGCATCCAGGTGAGCCATCAACCCGGGCGTTCAGGTGAGCCATCAACCCGGGCGTTCAGGTGAGCCATCAACCCGGGCGTTCAGGTGAGCCATCAACCCGGGCGTTCAGGTGAGCCATCAACCCGGGCGTTCAGGTGAGCCATCAACCCGGGCGTTCAGGTGAGCCATCAACCCGGGCATCCAGGTGAGCCATCAACCCGGGCGTTCAGGTGAGCCATCAACCCGGGCGTTCAGGTGAGCCATCAACCCGGGCATCCAGGTGAGCCATCAACCCGGGCGTTCAGGTGAGCCATCAACCCGGGCGTTCAGGTGAGCCATCAACCCGGGCGTTCAGGTGAGCCATCAACCCGGGCGTTCAGGTGAGCCATCAACCCGGGCGTTCAGGTGAGCCATCAACCCGGGCGTTCAGGTGAGCCATCAACCCGGGCGTTCAGGTGCCATCAACCCGGGCGTTCAGGTGAGCCATCAACCCGGGCGTTCAGGTGCCATCAACCCGGGCGTTCAGGTGAGCCATCAACCCGGGCGTTCAGGTGAGCCATCAACCCGGGCGTTCAGGTGAGCCATCAACCCGGGCGTTCAGGTGAGCCATCAACCCGGGCGTTCAGGTGAGCCATCAACCCGGGCGTTCAGGTGAGCCATCAACCCGGGCGTTCAGGTGAGCCATCAACCCGGGCGTTCAGGTGAGCCATCAACCCGAGCGTTCAGGTGAGCCATCAACCCGGGCGTTCAGGTGAGCCATCAACCCGAGCGTTCAGGTGAGCCATCAACCCGGGCGTTCAGGTGAGCCATCAACCCGGGCGTTCAGGTGAGCCATCAACCCGGGCGTTCAGGTGAGCCATCAACCCGGGCGTTCAGGTGAGCCATCAACCCGGGCGTTCAGGTGAGCCATCAACTCGGGCATTCAGGTGAGCCATCAACCCGGGCATTCAGGTGAGCCATCAACCCGGGCATTCAGGTGAGCCATCAACCCGGGCGTTCAGGTGAGCCATCAACCCGGGCGTTCAGGTGAGCCATCAACCCGGGCATTCAGGTGAGCCATCAACCCGGGCGTTCGGGTGAGCCATCAACCCGGGCGTTCGGGTGAGCCATCAACCCGGGCGTTCGGGTGAGCCATCAACCCGGGCGTTCGGGTGAGCCATCAACCCGGGCGTTCAGGTGAGCCATCAACCCGGGCGTTCAGGTGAGCCATCAACCCGGGCGTTCAGGTGAGCCATCAACCCGGGCGTTCAGGTGAGCCATCAACCCGGGCGTTCAGGTGAGCCATCAACCCGGGCGTTCAGGTGAGCCATCAACCCGGGCATCCAGGTGAGCCATCAACCCGGGCATCCAGGTAAACCACTAACCGTGCATCCGGGTACCTTCCTTGCACCTTCACGTATTGCCCCTTTTGGAATAGTTATTGTATATACTGATGGCTTATTTCCTCAGGTTTTTTTTTTTTCTTGCATGCCATGCTTGCCTACATTGTTCCTCACCACCATCCCCACCCCCGTTTGCAACTTCAAACTCCATGTCCACCTCTTCCTCACTCCTCTCGTGTCCCCTTGTGCAGTGCCAGGCGCCCTACCTGGTGGTGGGCCAGCAAGTTTGCATCGATGCACCCGTCCTCGCCACCATGCAGCGAGCCCCCAATGCCAACTACTCCATCTACACCGTCCGTGCCAATGACACCCTCTCCACCATCTCCACCCAGTACCTCACCCGCTGCACAACACTCTCCGTTTCCCCCGCTGCCATCGCCGCCCAAAACTTCATCGCCAACGCCTCTGCACCGCTCCCAATCGGCACCAACCTCATCATCCCCTGTATTGGCGGCGTCGGTATGATTGACGGCGGCTGTGCAATTTCTCTCACGGTGTGCGGAGCGGATTTCGTCTCGTACCCGTCGTACTGCCATGCAGCAGTTAACTACGGCCTTTCACTATTCCAAAACAACCCGTGTGACAAGTGTGGGGCGGCGTGCGTTGGTCGCATGGGGCTGGCTCCGGCCCCCCCGTTCGGCTGCTCCCAAGCCATCTGCCCATACCCAACCTGGATGGGAAGTCCAGACTGCACTCTAGGAGATGGCAACAACGGTACTGCACCCTGCTGCAATTACCGGAAAACGATTTGTGTGAAGCAGTGCGGCCTAACTGCTGATACTTTAGGCGGTACCAACTCAACCAAGACCACAAACTACAACAATTGCATGGGCAATTGCATGTGCTGCGGTACGTTCCCATGTGGGGGGAGCTGGACGTGCAGCACGTGGAACAACGCGTGCTATCAGAGCTCTCCTCGCACGTGCACGTACGCCATGGGAGTGGGCTACACGTTCATCTGCACCTACTATCCTGGTGCTAGTCCCTTGCCTTGAGGAGGAGCTGCCTGTAACAGCCGCCTGCTGGTTTAACCCGCCGTGCAATTGTGCGTACGCCATGGGAATTGGTTACACGTCCATCTGCACCTATTATCCTGCTGCCACACCCTTGCCTTATGAGCTCTCCCTGTAAGGGCTGCCTGTAAGGGCTGCCTGTAAGGGATGCCTGTAAGGGATGCCTGTAAGGGCCCTATGACTGCCTGTGGGGGTGCCGTCTCTGCTTTGGTTGCTGTTTGCCTGGCTGTTGGATTGGAATGTTTGTGCATGGGGCTTGCTATGCTAGTGTGCATGTGTGCAGCTCAAACTGACTGCACTGGGACCAGGTTCTGTCATGTTTTTTCTTCAACTTCGTGCTGATACCGTACATTCTTTTGTTCCTTTTTATCATTGTTGATTTCCATCACAATTCGTTTTATTGTTTCCTTCAAGAACAAAGCTAGCACAGATGGGTAGATAGTCTGCAGAATAGTAGCGCACTGCACATATCTTATTATGGTAATGTATGGTATGGTATGGTGTGGTGTCGCACTCATACTATGCCACAGGCGCTGATATAGGTTCATCTGAGTTCACAGCACAGCACAGCACCTTTTTCCAACAACGAAGAATGAAAAGTACGCTCCACTAAACCATAACGGCCCAATGAGTAGCACGTTTAGCTCTCTTACCACATTCCCTTGGTCCTCCGAATCACCTGCATTCTGCTCTGCATCCACAACCCACCTACTGGTAACTCTTCTTGCTCTTACACACACCGCTGCTGCACCTGCCCTCTTCTCATGCTTCTCACGCAAGCGTTACCCCGTAACCGGCACAGAACTGCGCCAAAGCCTCCCTGTTCGCATCACTCACCCCCTGCTGTATCACCGCTCCAAACCGCCCCGGACTCCTCGCCGTCAGCGACCCCAGCCCCGCAGTCAAATACTGCCTCGCATCATTCGTCTTATCCTTAACTGGATCCTCCTCCGTCTTCCCCGCATGGTGCAGCTGGGCATACGAGGCGGCATACCCTGATGCGATCTCCTCTGCGTCTGGCACGTCTGGCTCCTCCGCCTGTGCTGCCTCGCGCTGCTCCTTGGGCTGCACCAGCAGGGTTAGAACGGCGTCAAGGAGACGAGCCCAGGTCGGCAGGGCGGAATCAGCCTGTAGGAAGGGTGGGGGGACGGGGGGAGAGGGGAATGGGGGCAGAGGGGGCGGAATGGGGGAAGAATGGGATGAGTGAATGGGGTTACACGAGGTGAAGTGGAGGAGGGAAGGTGAATGAGGGAGATGGGGCAAGCGCTGCTTCTGCGTCCTCTGCCTGTGCTGCCTCCCGTTGCTCCCTGGGCTGCACTAGCAGGGCAGAGTCAGCCTGACTGGGACCAGGCGGCTGAGGGGAATGGGGGAAGAGTGCAGTAGTGGTACGCGGCGATCGTGGAGGAGTGCAGTAGTGGTACACGGCAATCGTGGAGGAGTGCAGTAGTGGTACACGGCGATCGTGGAGGAGTGCAGTAGTGGTACACGGCGATCGTGGAGGAGTGCAGTAGTGGTACACGGCGATCGTGGAGGAGTGCAGTAGTGGTACACGGCGATCGTGGAGGAGTGCAGTAGTGGTACACGGCGATCGTGGAGGAGTGGGAAGAATAGGAGCAGGATGCAGCAACAGAGTTGGTGAAGGTGTTGGTACGGCAGTGAACTGCCACAGCACACGTGTGTTGGGCGAACTGTGCTGTGGCAACACCTAAACCCTGGCTGCAGTGCAGGTGGGTGCGGTGCAGGTGGGTGCAGTGCAGGTGGGTGCGGTGCAGGTGGGTGCGGTGCAGGTGGGTGCAGTGCAGGTGGGTGCAGTGCAGGCACCACTCACCACTCACCTGGAAGCCCAACCCACCTGCAGGTCGCTGCATTCACAGAGCACGTCAGTGGCCGCCACGGCACACAGCTTGGTCTCCACGGCGTCACAGATGGAGGGCAGGCCAGGCGCCCACACGCCGGCGGTGATCTGCAGGAAGAGGCCCGGCTGCACGGCGTTAACTGACGCCACCACGGGCGCCACTCCGTGCTTCACCAGGAAGAGCGCGAGGAATATGAGCAGCCCTCGCACGAACTTGGGCGTGCGGGAGTTCTGGAGGGGGAGGGGGGGTGGGGGGGTGGGTGAGGCGGGGAGGGTATACGAGGGAGAGGGAGAGACAGGGACACGTTAAGGGGGAAGAGGCACACGAGCGGGTGGGGGCTGCACTGTGGGTTCCAGACGGAGGGGAAGATGACGTGACGGGTGACACAAACTCGCTATTCACGTGCCCACTCACTCAGTAGTCAACTTCCAGGCGGTAGAAGAGAAGGTTCTAGATGGTGGGCAAGGGAGTGTGGACCACATTGTGCAAATGCCCACCCACTCAGTACCATTCACACCCACCCACCAGCACCTCTCTGCACCCACTCATCCACTCGCTCAACCACCCGCCCACTCAGTCACCAATTCAAAGATACACACCCTTCGGAACCACACTACACACCCACTCTGTACAGATTTACACCCATCCACCACACCCACCCACCCACCCACCTGCAGGCGGTAGAAGAGCAGGTTCCAGATGGTGGGCACGAAAGGAGCGAGGGCGGCATGGTCTAGATGCTCCACGACGGTGTTGAGAATGAAGAAGCCCTGATGGTCCGAGTGCTTCGACGCTATCAGCTTCTGAAACACTCCCAGCACTGGCGGCACCTGCCCTCCCCCCACTATCTCCTTTGATGCTTTTTGCAGGTACGCCTGGGGGAAGGGTGTGGGGAAGGGGAGGAGGAGGGGGAGGGGGATGGGGACAGGGACGGGGAGAGAAGGTTACAGAGGCTGAGGCTAGGGCATGGTGGGCATGTGAGGCGGCGACCGGAAGGGGCGAGGTGAGGTGGTGAGGGGAGGGAGTGAGTGAAAGGAGTGAGGGGATGGAATAGAGGTCAAGCATGGAATGACGAGATGGAGGTGAGGCACGGAAGGAGTGAGGGGACCTCACATTTCCTCCGGCAGAATCAATTCTCAGAGGTTGCGGCGGAGAGGGACCAGCGGAGGGAGGGACAAGGGGAGGGTAGCAGCATTGGAAAGCGGCTTGTGAAATGTCTCGACTTTGCGACGGGTTGACAGTGGGCCCAGGACAAAAGGGTTACCTGCAGCAGGCGCACGAGGGCGGGGACGTTGCCGGCTCGCTCCCACAGCATGGGGGAGATGAGCGCGGGGAAGAGCGCCATGTATGCCGCTGGGAGTGGTAGCAGGGGCGGGGCTGAGCGGCTCTCTATGAGCAGCGCGAGGAGCTGCGAGGGGCAGGAGAGGAGCGGGAACGTGGAAATGAGGGCAGGGAGGAGCGGAATGAAGGCTGGTGGAGGCTGCAGCAGGGATGGGGGTGACCGGCTATCCATGAGCAGTGCGAGGAGAGAGGTGAAGAAGAGTCGCGAACAAAACGTCAAGGGGAGAGAGAATGGAGCGGAAATAGTTCGAGGTAGAGGTGGAGACAGCGAAATGGGAAATGGGAAATGGGAAAATGGCAGATGCAACGCGGAACGGCTCTCCATGTGCACGAGCAAACCTCACCATGCAATGCCCACCAGTGACCCTCCTAGCCCCCCTGAACGCCCTGAGCTCACACTCCTAACCCCACCTGACACCTGGAAACCCACCTGATGTGACGACCACATGTGACAGCCACCTGACGATTCCACCTGAAAACCCACCTGAACGCCAGAGTCACCGCACCTGAAAGGCGTACGGTGCAAACTCCTGCACGTCGGCGTCGAGCACGAGCTGCAGCAGAGGAAACACCTGCGCCTCACACACAGGCACCTGGCCAGGTGCGTCCTCCGCTGCCGCCCGCCTGACGAGCGCCGCCACGGCCTCAAAGGCGTAGTGATTGAAGGAGGGGTTGGCGGGGTTGCGACAGGCGGCCGTGAGGAGGGCGACGAGGGCTGGCAGGGCGAGCGGCAGGATGGCGACTGGAGCAGCGGTGGTGGATACCACCCGCATGAGACACTTCATCACATACTGGTTCTCCTGTGGGGGGGGGACGGGGGGGAGGAGGGAGGGAGGCGGTGAGGGATCGATGGGGGGGAATTTCGGCCTGGGTGGAACCAGCCAGGTGTAGCTCGGCTTATGAGTGCAGCCACGGCCTTAAAAGAGGGCGTAGTGATTGAAGGAGGGGTTGGCGGGGTTGCGACACGCCGCTGTGAGGAGTGCGGCGAGGGCCGGCAGGGCGAGCGGCAAGATGGTCGTGGGGGCTGATGTAGTGGATACCACCCGCATGAGACACTTCATCACATACTGGTTCTCCTGTGGTTGGTGAAGGGAGGTGAGGGGAGCGAGAGGGGAAGGGGGGGGCGTTTCGAGCCTGGGATGCACCGACCACCCGCATCAGACACTTCATCATGTCCTGATTCTCCTGGGAGACGGGAAGAGAGGTAGGAGGAGAGGCGGGAGAGGGGAGAGGGGAGAGGGGAAGGGGGATTTCGGGCATGGGTTGAATCAACCACCCGCATCATACACTTGAACACGTACTGGTTGCAGATGGTGTAGGGATGGGGGGGAAGGATGCAGGGTATCAGGCCTGGGTTGCGTTGCCCCAACCACCCGCATCACAAAACAAGCCTCATCACATGCTGATTCATCACATGCTGATTCATCACATGCTGATTCATCACATGCTGATTCATCACATGCTGATTCATCACCCCCAACCCCACCCCACCCCATTTGCAAGCCTGCCCCGCACGCGAGCCTACACCGTCTCCCAACCCCTCACAACCTCCTCTTACTCCCTCCACCCCTCCAACCTCACGACTTCTCTTGTTACCCCTCCCTCTCACCCCCCCAACCCCCAAAAAACCTCACCACCCCTCTCCACCGCTCTGTACCTGCGAGTCGGGCATCTTGAGCGCCTTGAACAGCTCCCCCAGCAGCGGCTCCGCGAACGTCGCCACGTCAGCGCCCGAGAATCTCAGCTGCCCGCCGTCCCTCGTCATAAGCAGCCTCTCTATAGCGTTAGCCGCGTACGAGTGCACGACATTCGACTCCGCCCCTACAAACCGCAGCAGCTGCGGCATCAACTCCAGGCACGTCTCCTTCGGAATCTGCCCGCGAAACGTGGTCAGGAATTTCAGCGCGTTCGCCTTCAGCACCGGCTGCGCGTTCACGTCCGCCGCGCGCAACTCGGGCAGAATCTGCCCGGAGAAAAACTCTCCAAGATTCACCAGATTATTAGTCGCCGTGGCGCCAGCAGCGGCAGTCTTCTGTTTAACAGCGAGCGCCACCACAAGGAACACAGCTGTGTCTTTGGCCTTCCAGTTGGCTTCTGGGTTGGCAGCGTACTGGGCGAGCTCCGAGTTGACGTACTGTGAGAAGAGGTGCGTCACCTCCGCCTCGTAGCTCGTGGACAGACCCTTCACCAGCTCGCATGCCATTCGCCGCCTCGTGTCGCTGTCACTGCCCTCCATGTCCCTGTGTTGAGGGAGGGAAGGGGGCGGGGAAGGGGTTGGGGAGGACGGGTAGGGGGGGAGGAGAGCAGCCTTGAGTTGTATGAAACGTCACTGAAGGGGGAGGAGGGGGAGGAGGGGAAGGAGGCATACGAGACAAAAGGTGCAGAGCAGAGCAAGAGTGGATGTGGTGAGAAGGGAGAGAGGAGAGGACCGGAACGGAGGAGGGTACTTGCCTCCCCAGCTCTTTGTTTTCGCCAATGCCGCTTGAATTCAGCTTCCTTGCATTGGCACACACACCTCCCTCCCCGTGCCTCTCACCTCCGAATGCACATGAAGCACACAAACTTTTGAGGCGCCTCAAAAGTCCTCCCCGTGCCTCTCATCTCACCTCCGAATGCACATGAAGCACACAAACTCTCCATCCCCCCCTCCACTCCCTTCCCCCCCTTCGCCCCTCACCTGCGGATATACTTGACAAAGTTCATTTCAAACAGCTCCTCATCCTCGTCGCTCAGCCAACGACTTGAGGCGCCTCAAAACACACCCACACTACACACCCCCTCCCCTCCCCCCTTCGCCCCTCACCTGCGAATGCATTCAACGAAGTTCATTTCGAACAGCTCCTCTTTTTCATCCCTCAGCCTCGGCAGCACGATGCCCTCGCAGATCTTCCTCAGCGTGTCGGGGTCCTTGAACAGCGCGTGGTGCACACACGCACCCAACGACCCGCATATCATCACACTGACACGCCATGCCACCCACCCACTTGCTTTCCACCTGCCAACACACCCCCTTGCACTACCCTCCGCGCCCCTCACCTGCGAATGTACTCCACGAAGTTCATCTCAAACAGCTCCTCATCTTCATCCCGCAGCCTCGAGTTCGGCAGCACGATCCCCTCACAGATCTTCCGCAGCGTCTCCGCGTCCTTGAACAGCGCGTGGTGCACGCTGCGGCTCACAGTCGTCAGGAACCGGATCGCCACGATGGCCAGCCGGTCGCACCCGGGTCCCAGGCCCTCGGGCGACTGCGGGAGCTTGATGAGCAGCGTCCACACGTCCGTCACGAACGTGGGCAGGAAGTCCTTGAACTCCTCCTCGTTCTTCTCCATGTATAGATTGATGTTCTCGCAGATGGCTGCTTTGAGCTGGTCCAGAATGCCCTCCTGAAACAGGGCGAGGAAGGAGAGTGGGGGGAGGGCATGAGATGGAAAGGCCAGGGGCAGGCACGAGCTGGTCCTAAGCGCCCTTCTCAACCAAGGGGGGGGGAAAGGAGGGGCCCAGGCGCTGGGGCGACTGCGGGAGCTTGATGAACAGCGTCCACACGTCCGTCACGAAGGTGGGCAGGAAGTCCTTAAACTCCTCCTCGTTCTTCTCCATGAACAGATTGATGTTCTCGCAGATTGCCGCCTTTAGCTGGTCCAATATGCCCTCCTGAAACGGGTGCAGGGGAGTAGGACGGAGGAGGGTGGACGGGGGGTGGGGGCGGCAGTAGGGTACTGGGGTCAAGCAGGAAGTCTTTAAACTCCTCCTCGTTCTTCTCGATGTACAGATTCATGTTCTCGCATATCGCCGCTTTCAGTGGGTCCAATATGCCCTCCTGCAATGAGGGGGTGGGGAAGGTTGGAAGGTGGGGGGAAGGTTGGAAGGTGGGGGGAAGGAGATGTGCTTCGGAGTCCAGTAGTAGGCATCAGGGGCAAGCAAGTCGGGAATTTGAACTCCTCGTTCTTCTCAATGTAGAGGTTGATGTTCTCGCACATGGCTGCCTTGAGCTGGTCCTATATGCCCTCCTGCAATGGCGAAGGGGCGGGGAGGGCGTGGAAGCGCGTGGGGGGAGTGGAGGGCGTGTGGGACAAGAGGGGGCAAAAAAAAGGGAGGGAGGGTTTAAGCACTTGATGGGAGGGGAACGGACGACAGTGAGACGCGGAGGGAGAGGGAGAGGGCAGGGAACGCAGAGGCGGGAGGGTGGGAGACGTAGAAAAGGAAGGTGGTAGGGGGTGATTAGAGGGACGAGGGGAGCCGGTTTTGGGGACAGGGGATAGGGGAGCGGGTGGGAAGGGGTGGGTGGAGGAGGTGGGGGACGGGTTGCAGGGAAAGTCAAGGAGGGTTTATGCTGGAAGAAGAAGGGGAGGCCGCGGACGCGGGGAGGGAGATTGGGGTAACGGGTTTGGGGGAACGAGAAGGGGAATTGGGACGGGGGGGTGGTGTGAGAAGGGATCGGGAAATAGGGGATGCAGAAGGGGGTGACAGAGAAGGGATCGGGAAATAGGGGATGCAGAAGGGGGTGACAGAGAAGGGATCGGGAAATAGGGGATGCAGAAGGGGGTGACTGAAACAACACAGAGCTGCCCTAGAAACTTGAAGCTTCCACGCACCTTCTCCGGGTCCTTCTCGTTCAGCAGCGGGTTCTCATAAGTGAGGTACTTATGGAACTCCCCCATCCATTCCTGTAGGTGATCCTCGAAAACCTCGGGCAGCTCTTGCGAGTTGAGCGAAAAGAATATCCGGCAGATGAGACGCTGGCAGTTGAGCAGCACGCGGAGCGTGTCCGGCTTGTCCTGATTGGCTGCGATGAGCTGGCTTGTGCTTATAAAGAGCGCCAGCATCGGCGCGACGAAGAGGTCCAAGCAGTATTTAAGTTCCGCATAAAGCTGCGCGGATTTAAACTGGTGGCGGAATCTCTTAAAAATGGAGTTAGCCGTTTCGAGGATTCCGAGGAGGACGCCGTAATCCGTTGAAGGCAGCTTCGATACAAGCTCCGGGAGGAGGTTCTCCCACTTGGCGGGGAAGTCGTGCGTGCTTATAATGGAGAGCGCCTCGCTGATCTGCGCCTGGATCTTGGGCGGCGCGGAGAGCATGAGCGGCACGATGTGCTCCTTGATCTTCGCCTTCTCGTCGTCCTGATGGGAACGGGAAGCAACGATACGTCAACACGCAACGAGTTAGGAGGAAAGCAAAAGAAGAATTTCTATGTTCCTCTGTCTTTCGAATATCTTATGCAACGCGCATCATGAGGTCCTAAAACACAGACCAGGATCCTTCCGCCCTTGATAGTTTCCCCCTAACGCAAGTGTCTCGCGAATTCGGCCACACTAAGGCAGGCGACGAAGGACAAATCGGCCGTCCTTACCTGGATGGGAACATGACCGAGAGAATCCTGCTTCGACGGAGCCCAGTGGTACCTGACGAACTGACTAACGTGAATTCTCATAAGGGTCCAATCGGCCGAACCATACCTGGATGGGAACGTGGCCAAGCGGATCGTGCTCCGACGGAGCCCAGTGATACTTGACGAAGTTCTTGAAGTTGACGGCGGCGGGCTGCAGCACCTGCTCGTCAACTCCCGGCGTCGCGATCAGCGCCAGCACCGTGATGCCGAACCCCGGTTGTCCCGCCGCCGTCTTGAGAAAATTCTCCGCCTGCTTGCGCGGCTCGGGGTCCGGCGCGAGCGTCTGGAGGAAGCATTGCGCGAGCGACTTGAGGCTTTCCTCTGTCGGCTGCATCTCGACCGTTCGTTTCTAATGCGATGTGATGCGCGTGAGTGAATCGAGATCAGATGCTCCTGATCTTGCCACAAATCGTCCGCCGCTCAAGAATGTGCTCGCAGTTCCTTAGGTGGCTCTACCGTCGATTACAAATGGAACGGAATGGGTCGGACCAGGGAAACCAGGCTCGCTATTGGACTAACAAAGGCGGGTGCTGGTGTGGTATTCTACGGCTAGCAGACCTTGAATCTGGAATCTGGAATCTCCATCACCAAAGGGGAGATTCAAACTGAGTTTTGATTCAGGGGCGTGTTCCAGACCATCCCAAACCCGATGTGAGGTACGTTCAAAACACTCCCTCTTCACGAAGCAGACTGTCATCTAATTCTCGTTCACAGTTCATGTGTGAACGTTCAGGCTGCGGTTGGAGAAAGCGACATCGTACTAAGCGCTTAGGAACGGAGCTTACATCCAAGTGGCGCGAATGAATGTGTCAGTTCTCTGACAAGCATCCCGTGCTTCGTTAACAGTTGTCATTCAGATCATATCATAATTTCAAGAACTGAGTGCAATACATCTCCTTGATACCGTTTCACGTAACCGTTTTATCATTCATGCAGAATTATCAATGAAGTGTATCCAGTATAGAGTAATATGCAATTATTTATTGATTTAATTTGTATATAAAATATTTGGGATGCGTGATTTAACTCTCATTCCATTTTGGAAAAAAGGGATATTTTATGTGTTTTTTTGTTGAGATGAGAGGAGAAAAGCCACATCAATCTATATATAGTCTTTTTGAAATCATTGAATACAAATATTTAACCTAGCAAGCTATAGATTTAGCATGTTTAGCTATATTTGATCTCCTCTCCGTTGCACAATGGTTCAGCTTTAGAAAAGAGTGTTCCAAACAGTCTCCTTATCCAAACCAGCTTGTCTGACACTTTTTCCAAGTCTGCCAGCATCTCGGTTTGCCATCTGGCTTCCGTCCCTTATCCAGTCAGCATTTGCGAATGATCTCAGCCACACCCACACACCATGCCGCTTCGCAAATATGGTTACTCGATCGCAGATCTCTCGCTTGCTGCCACGGACAATCACTTCTGTCGGGGTGTCTGCTTTGGAATCTGCCCCACCGCCATTCCTCCACCCCACATGCATCCTGTTCTTTCGGATTCATATCTCCCCACCTTCAGGTTATTCTGTGTGACTCGTCTTGGCTGGTCTGGTCTGCACTTCATTTATAGCGGCTTGAATTCTAGCTCTCAAGCACGGTCCTAATTCGAGCTTGACATATTGGGCTCGTTTTTTTTTTGCTATTAAGCCGCGTTCGCGTATTGTAAAATGGCGGCTACCAGCTCCATCGCAGCTGCTGCCATGGCTGCCTCAAGCGCGCCGATGGCTGCAGTCTCACGGACCATGACGAGCGCGCCGTTCGCCTCGCCAATGCTTCCTCTCGCCAGCCAACTGCCTTCAGCTGGCCTCTCCGCCGCTCACGCACCCCAGCAGCTGCAGAGCCAGGACCGCGCGAGCAATGTCGGCCGGAGGAGCGTCGCGACACCCGCGAAGTCCACGTGGGTTGCCTTGCAGATTAGCTGGACCTGTACAATTTTATGAACACGCTTTTATCCGTAGACCTGGACTTTCGTGAGTCGCTGGCCCACGAAATAGATGGAAGCAAAAAAATCCCAACAGGACACAATAGCGTAATTACTCAACCAGCCTACTATTCTAACGAGCCAGTGAGGTGGTCAGGCCTGACCACCAAAGTGAGCTCTCTGGTCAACCTCCTTGCTATCTGCGGTGAGAGAGGTCTGTTCAGTCGAATGAACACAGGCGGATGAACAGAGTCTCGACAGGCATGGCCAGGAATGTGACTTTTGAGTCGACTCGAAGTCGCTTCCGTTCAGGCGAGTGAACACAGGCGATTAGACATAGGCAAGTGAATACAGGCACGTGAACACAGACTCAACAACCATGGCCAGGAATGTCACAGCTCCTTGCAACGTGTCACTGGACCTGTTGTCAGCCGACTTGCATTGCATGTCCCAACCTGCTGCAGTAGAGCACTCGTCTGAGTTTCGTTCGGTTCGACTCAAAGTCCACTCCACAGCGTTTAACGATGCACCTTTCATGCTGGCGAGCTCGCATGGCTGATTCTACTCTAGCGGTTCAGATAATCCCACAATCCTCCCGACATTGTCCAGCCATGGTGTTCCCCGTGCCGTCGCTGCCTCTTAATTCTCACACCCTCCTTCCCCCTTTCCCCCTTCCCTTCTCCCGCCATCCGGCCCCGCTGTCGTTCTCCTCCCCCCTCCATCCCCCCTCCTCGACCTTCCCCCGCGTGCTCTGCGCTTCCTCCGCGCATCAGCGCGGCGGAGGCGCCGCTGGACGTGCGCGCGTTCAAGGCGGAGCACGGGGAGGCGGAGCTGGAGACGGATCCCGCGCGGCTGTGGGAGCGGTACGTGGCGTGGCTCTACAAGGACGAAGCGTTGGGGCTCGAACTCGACATCAGCCGCATGGGCGTCACGGACGCCTTTGTCCAGGCCATGGAGCCCAAGGTTAGTTGTGAGTGAGGCGATGAGGCCCCCTGACGGGGTTGTGAAGAGTGGTAGCAACCCTCTGCGCGGTGTGCGAGGCGGGAGCGCCTATGGGTGCTGTACGGGGCTAATGGGGAGGGAGCGGTACGTGGCGTGGCTGTACAAGCATGGGCACCTGGGGCTCGAGCTCGACGTCAGCCGCATGGGCGTCACGGACGCGTTCGTTGAAGCCATGGAGCCCAAGCTTAGACGCGAGGCGAGGCGAGCCGCGAGGCGGCAAGGCTTCCGTGAGATGCGAGGCAAAGGCTCCTTGACGCATTCATAGGTTGAGCGGCGCATTGCGGGCCAGTACTGACCCAGCACTCCCTTCCAACCTCTTACCTCCCCCCACCCACCCCTCCACCCCACCTTCTCCGCCGCTCTCCTCCCGGCTGTTCCCCACCCTCCGTCGTCCCTCTCCCCGCTGTCTGCAGTTCGCGGCGGCGTTCAAGGCGATGGACGAGTTGGAGAAGGGAGCGATCTCAAACCCGGACGAGAGGCGCATGGTGGGGCACTACTGGCTGCGCAAGCCGCAGATCGCCGCCAGCCCCACGCTCAGGAAGGAGATCGAGGAGACCATTGATGCTGTTGACGCCTTCGCCACCGCTGTTGTCAATGGCACGGTGCGTGGGGTGGGGACAGATGGCAGTGAGTCGGCTTGGAAGGGTTGAGAGGGGTTGGGGAGTGCTACGAGGAGACCATTGACACTGTGACGCCTTCGCCACCGCTGTTGTCAACGGCACGATGTGTGGAGTGGGGTGGGGAAGAGAGGCGGCAGACGGAGGCGGGACTGTCTGGAAGGTTGGGAAGTCCCATTTCGCCTTCTCTCCTCATGCTTCTTGCACCTCCTCGCTTCTCCTCTCCTCTCACCTTCGAGTTTGTGATCTCTTTTCTGCCGTCTCCCTCTCTTCCCCCCCTCTCACCCCGATTGCCCTCCCCCCCATCACTCTCGATCAACAGATAAAGCCTCCCCCATGCCCAGCCGGCCGGTTCACCCAGGTGCTATCTGTCGGCATTGGAGGCTCGGCTCTCGGCCCTCAATTCGTCTCCGAGGCTCTCGCAGGCACCAACCCTCCGCTCCAGGTACGGTGCCAAGCCAGAGCCACAAATATACAAGAGGGTCAGGGTGGGTGAGTCTGTGGGAGGGTGGCTGGGTGGGCGGGCGGGTGGGCGGGTGGATCCACGTGTAAAAAGTGAATTTTTGAGACGTCTCAAAAGAGAAGCAGACACGGTGCCAAGCAAGGGAAGCGTCCACACCGCTCCACTCTGTTCTGGCAGTGTCTCAACAAGCCCACAATGACAACAAATTGCTGTCAAAATTTCTCAAAATTGGTACAAGCAGTTTCTTTATCCGCCTACAACGGCAACAAACAACATCACAGGCCCACCCCCCTTGTCGCTTCTCAACGTGTTTGTCACCATTGGGAGGAGAAACAGCCAGACTCGGAAAAGGATGCCGTGCGATCGATCTCCTCCCTGTGCACCCCGACTCAGCCCCTCGCCGCACAGACTGTTAGCTACAGCTCTCTCCCTCACGCCCCAGTCATCAACCCCCTCCCTTTCCTTTCCCCTCTCGCCCCTCCCCGTTCCTCCTCCCCCGCTCCCCTTTTCGTCAAGTGTGGTCTGTAAACAGCACAGAACCGGCAGGCATCGACCGCCAGCTACGCGTATCCATCCGATTGTGTCATCCGCTCGCTCTCTCCTTCCCTTCCTCTTCTCCCCTCCCCTTCTCCCACCCCCCACCCACCCACCCCTTCCTCCACCCAGGTGCGGTTTGTGGACAACACGGACCCGGCGGGCATCGACCGGCAGCTGGACCAGATCGGAGCAGAGCTCTCCTCCACGCTCGTGCTCGTCATCTCCAAGGTGCATCCCGGTGCCCTCTCCTCTCCCTCCCACGTGGTTGTGGTGACACGTCTCTAAGCAGCGCCATTCTCACATCACATCACATCACATCACGTCACGTCACATCACATCACATCACATCACATCACATCACATCACATCACATCACATCACATCACATCACACATCACATCACATCACATCACATCACATCACGTCACGTCACGTCACGTCACGTCACGTCACGTCACATCACGTCACGTCACATCACATCACATCACATCACATCACATCACATAGCACATCCCTCTACTATGCAACTGCCCCCATCTGCACCACATGTGCTCCGCATCTCCACCAAAGTGCCCCCACTGCCCGACCCCACCCCACCCCACCCCACCCCAACACCACCACCATCAGAGTGACGGCACTCTTGCCATGCGTCTTGCTTGCTCCCTACCCACCACACATTCTCGTCCATCCCCTTCCCCCCACACTACCAGAGCAGCGGCACACCGGAAACGCACAACGGATTCTTGTAGGTGCAGAGGGTGATCCGCGACAAGGGGCTGGACTCCACACACTTCATGATGCCCCCTCCCTCCCCCTTTCCTCTTCCTCCACCCATCCCAACCTCCAACGCCCCCAACCCTCTCCCACATTACAGAGTGGCGGCACGCCCGAGACGCGCAACGGCTTGCTGGAGGTGCAGAGGGTGTTTCGTGAGAAGGGGCTGGACTTCGCCCGGCAGGGGGTGGCGATCACACAGAGGGGGTCCCTGCTGGACGACACTGCTCGCATGGAGGGGTGGCTCGCCCGCTTCCCCATGTTCGACTGGATTGGTGGGCGCACGTCCGAGGTCTCGGCTGTGGGGCTCCTGCCTGCTGCCCTGCAGGTGCGTTGCCTTGGGTTGCTGTGTCGTGCTCTATTGCTGGCAGTTGATTATGGCTTGTGATTTTTCGTTGCTGTGTGTGGATGCGTACGTCTTCATCTCTCTGTGTTTGCCCATCTGTTAATCCATCTGTGGGTGTGCTTGCGTCTTTTGGTGTCAGTGTTTTCACACTCCTGCGATTCTGCTGATTCTTAACGTGTGTCCTTATGCGTTCCTTGTCTCTACCTGTTCATGTGCTGTGGACCCACCACCCATACGCACCCATCTGTATCCATATGCATCTTTCTGTATCCGAATGTCTGTGTGCGGCAGGGCATCAACATCCGTGAGATGCTGCGAGGAGCAGGCGCCATGGATGAGGCCACACGCATTCACAAGGTCAGCACTACCCAAGCCATGCCATGATATGATGCGCCATGCCATGCCATGCCATTTAGTCATGATGTGACATGCCATGTCATACCATGCCATGTTGTGGTGCCACAAGGTTTTGTTTGATCCATCTCAGTTGCTCTCTTGCTCAGTTTGTCCAGTAAACACTTCTCGTGCCCGCACAATCCCTTTGATGCCCTTGATATTGCCCCTAACACCCTTTCATACCCTTTACGCCCTTCATACCTCCTCAGTTGCATCTCCTCATCTTCCCCGCACCTCTTCCACCTCTTTCCTTCACCTGTTCCTCCTCCCTCACTCCCTCGAACGCACATCACCCTCGCCTCGTTCCCCTGCCCCCATATCCCTCCATCTCTGCTCGCCCTGCACTCGTTTCAGATCCGCAGCAACCCAGCGGCTCTCCTGGCGCTCTGCTGGTACTGGGGGTGTGACGGCATTGGCTCCAAGGTGAGCACGGCCTCTCCACTCGATCCTGCATTTTACTCCGCGTTTCAGTTTGCGCGTCAGTCTGCGTCTCAGTTCACATGTCCGCTTGCATGCCAGATTGCGTTCACAGCCTCCCCACCGCCCCTGCACCACCCTCCACCACCCCTGTGCACCGCTCTGCACCGCACAGGACATGGTGCTGCTGCCGTACAAGGACTGCCTGCTGCCCTCAAACCCCCCTGTGATAGTAGCACAGTATTGAATCGTGGACTCTCTGCGACCCATCTGTAACCCCTCTGCCCCCCCCGCACACCGCGCTGCACCGCACAGGACATGGTGGTGCTACCGTACAAGGACAGCCTGCTGCTATTCAGCCGCTACCTGCAGCAGCTGATCATGGAGTCCGTGGGGAAAGAGTTCGACCTCGATGGCAAGAGGGTGAGTGCTAGTGCGTGCCTTGCCTGTTGAGGGGATTCAAGGGTGTCTCTCTCTCTTCAGCCGCTACCTGCAGCAGCTGATCATGGAGTCCGTGGGGAAAGAGTTCGACCTCGATGGCAAGCGGGTGAGTGTTAGCGCTTGCCTTGCCTGTTGAGGGGCGATTCATGTGTGCTTGTATCTCTTAGAAGCCTACCTGCAGCAGCACATTATGGAGTGGGTGGGGAAGGAGTTTGATCTGGATGGCAAACAGGTGAGTGCTAGTGCTTGCCTATTGCCTGATGGGGCAACTCAAGGGTTGCCTGCAGCGGCAACCCTAGAAAGCCCACCTGCCACAGCCCATCGTGGTGTCCTGTGCTCTGGGTTGTGGCTGCATGCTGTGTGATGCAGGTGAACCAACGCCTCATAGTATAGTGCCAAGTAATCCCACCTCACCCCTCTCAACTGCATCCCACCCCTTGTGTGCACGCTGATTGCCCCTACCCACAGGTGAACCAGGGGCTGACGGTGTATGGCAACAAGGGCAGCACAGACCAGCACGCGTGAGTGCCTACTGGACTCGGATGATGGGTGGGAGTGGGTGGGGATGGTGGGGATGGACGCATGGGATGGGTGGATGGGGTTGGCTGATTGTACCGGTGGGTGGGATGGGAGGGTGGGTGCGGGTGCGGGTGTGGGCGGAGGAGTGCATTTATCAGCCATTGTTCTTGAGTCTTGACTTAGCATTGCAGCGGACCACCCTTCTCCCTTCATTCCCTTCCCCCCTTCATCCATCCCTCAACCCCCCCCCCCTCTTATTGCAATACACGCTGCAGATATACCCCACAAACAGCTTCTCTCCATGTCTCCCACCACTCCACACCCCCTTCCCCACGCCCCCTTTCCGATGACCACCCCCCTCCCCATCCCTCTCGCTCCCCCGCACATGTACATCCCCCATTTAGCAGCTGAGGGAGGGCATGCCCGACTTCTTCACCCTTCCCCCCTCTAACTCCTTTCCCCATTCCCCACCCATCCCCCCGTTTCCCCCACTTCACCCCGCCCGTCTTTCCCCAACCCCAGGTACATCCAGCAGCTGAGGGAGGGCGTGCCCAACTTCTTTGCCACGTTCATCGAGGTGCTCACGGACCGGCAGAGCGGCCGCGACTGGGAGCTGGAGCCGGGGGTCACGTGCGGGGACTACCTGTTTGGCCTGCTGCAGGTGGGGGTGGGGGATATCGGGTGGGAAAGTGGGATGGGGGGAAGGGGTGCATGTGTGGAGTGGAAAAGACATGCATGTGGGATGGAGGGACAAGGTTCTCACGGACTGACAGAATGGCCACGACTGGGAGCTGGAGCCCGGGGTCACGTGCGGCGACTACCTGTTTGGCCTGCTGCAGGTGGTGAGGAGGGGGGATTGGGCCTGGGGAAAGAGTGCAGGTGGTGAGGAGGGGGGATTGGGCCTGGGGAAAGAGTGCAGGTGGTGAGGAGGGGGGATTGGGCCTGGGGAAAGAGTGCAGGTGGTGAGGAGGGGGGATTGGGCCTGGGGAAAGAGTGCAGGTGGTGAGGAGGGGGGATTGGGCCTGGGGAAAGAGTGCAGGTGGTGAGGAGGGGGGATTGGGCCTGGGGAAAGAGTGCAGGTGGTGTGGCACGCGCGGAAAGGAGGGGTACTTGTGAGATGTGGGTGGGGGGCTGCCGGATCGGCAGAGCTGGCGCGACTGGGAGCTGGAGCGGGGGGTCATTTGCGGGACTACCTCTTTGGACTGCTGCAGGTGGGGAGGAGGGAAGGGCAGGTGTGAGTATGGAAGGTGAATGGAAGGGGTGCTGATGGGGACGGGGGAAAGGAAGGCGAGAAGGTGTGATTCTGGCTGAGGGGGACCAGGTTCACCATTCTTCCCCCCTATCTACCCATACCCCACTCCCCCCTCTCTCCCGTCTACCCAATCAGGGTACGCGCTCTGCTCTGTATGCCAACAAGCGCGAATCCATCACGCTGACCATAAAGGACGTGGATGCAGCGACGGTGGGCGCCATCATTGCTCTCTATGAGCGCGCCACAGGGCTGTATGCCTCACTCATCAACGTCAACGCGTACCACCAACCAGGTATGTGAGTGTCATGTTAACCCCATTCCCATGCTCCATGTCCCAGCCCCATCCGCCTTGTCCCATACCCCATGCACCATGCGCCATGCCCTGTGCGCCATGCACCATGACCCATGCACCCCCATGCGCCATGACCCATTCCCCATTCGCAATGTGCCATGCACCATGACCCATGGACCACTATGCTGTATGTACGTGCCATGGGGCCTTAACCCATGCTGCGTACCCCATGCCCCATGCCCCTGCTCCCAATGCGTTGCTGTGCCGGCAGGAGTGGAGGCGGGCAAGAAGGCAGCAGCAGAGGTGCTGACGCTGCAGAAGAGAGTGCAGGCAGTGATCAATGATGCGAGGTGAGAGGGCAGGCAGTGATCAATGATGCGAGGTGAGAGTGCAGGCAGTGATCAACGATGCAAGGTGAGAGGGCTGGTGCAAGGTGGGTTGGTTGGAGGGAGAGGATGCAGCTGGGGGTAGGAAGACGGAGGGCTGTTTTTTGGGGTGGAGGGGTGTAGAGGGGGGGGGGGGGAATTGGGGCTGTTTCTGAACAGGAAAGGGTAATCAGAGGGTGATTGTACAATAATCCTGTGACTCATCCGTGGCTGCAACCCACAGCTCGCACACGGGCCTGTTTACTCTCATGCCTTTTCGTATTCACTCTCGCCTTCACTCGCTTTTATCTTCACTATTGCCCATGGTTACCACACATTCCCTGCGCGGTTATCTGCTCTCAGTATCAAAGAGGAAGGCTGTCACTCGCGTTTCATTTCGATGCGATTCTCACACGTGCCTTTGTTACACTCGTGTTTGTGTGCTCAGCTGCAAGCACCCAGTGGAAGCTCTCACCATTCAGCAGTCCTCCGGAATGTCACACTCACTCACTCTAGTCTCGTGTTTCTCATGTTTGCCTTTGCCACTCTCGTGTTTCTGTGCTCAGCTGCAAGCACCCAGTGGAAGCTCTTACCATCCAGGAGATTGCCACGCGTGCTCATGCACAGGCGCAGGTGAGAGTGCAAGGGCAGAGGCGCAGGTAAGAGACTAAGAGTGCAAGGGCAGAGGAGCGGGTGAGAGTGTAAAAGTTGATACAGGTGAGAGTGCAGATGCTGAATCAGAGAATTGGGTATTTGGAGTGAGTGGGAGAGTCATGGTGAGTGTGCATGTGCATTCGTTGGTGTGGGGCAAGCGTACGGTTTTACAGGTAGCAGCAAAAGAAAGGCATTTGCCACACATAGTGGGGGGCACGCATCACACAATGCACGTAGTTGGCACGTATCACATGTACGGTAACAGCATGGCAATCAGGCATGCTGAGCACATCAGGTCCTTGAGGTGGTTTGGATTCGCACATGGCATCAGCATGTTTGTTCTTGTCTGTTCTCAGTTGTCTCGCTGAAGGGTGGGTGTCCTTCACTTCAACGCTTCACTCAAATTGGCCATCCTCTGCCTCTGCTTCTGGTCACTCCATTGCAATCCCTTGCTATCAGATTGAGACAGTGTACAAGATTATCCGCCACATGGCAGCCAATGACAGGGCAATCATGATGGGATCTGACATCAACACACTCACGGTGATTGCGGAAGAATGCCCTCCGGAGTTGTAGCCCTCAGGGATTTTGTGCTATTCATCTTGCGTCTGCGCATGACTCCAGTGCTGGTTGTTATGTCATACCCTGGTCAGCTTGAAGGTTGAGGTTTGGCTTTTCTGCAAACTCGTTTTGAAGCATGTCCAATCATATTACTATTCAAGAGCTCCATGTGTACCCTTGTGAAACATTTAGCGGCTCACGGTCCATTGTGCTATGGCTGCCATGCCTGCCACTAAGCATCAGTATGTAGATATGATCATGGCACTAGTTGGCAGGGCTATTTAGTGCTCTTGGTCAGCTAGCTCTTTATTGATGTCCCTAAGATTGGAAGTCAAAACGATCTTAGAATGAATGGGAGTACATAGTACGGTAAGCTACCTTTCTTTTCACGCAGTGGCTTGTTTCAAGAAAGCAATCAGATCCGCTCTCTCCTGAGGCTTCTTCAGACCTGGGAAGACCATCTTCGTGCCGGGAATGTACTGCGGGGGACAAACGATGGATGATAGGGTAGAAACACATAGGGCTCGGGTTCGATCCACGGATCTCAGACGTAAAGAGCACTGCAAGCCAAAACGAAAGAGGTCATCTCACAGGCAGAAGCCTACGTACCTTCTTAGGGTTCAAAAGGTAGTCGTAAAGGGTCTCCTCTCCCCACAGAACTGCAGCGTTCTTGTTGGCATTTGAGTACGAATAACCCTCAATGGTTCCAGACTGCCTGCCGAAAAGCCCGGCCAGGTTCGGACCTGCGATCGAAAATGCCACGATGGCTCGCGTAAGGCTCGCGTGTCAACCGACTAAGGTCAAGATATTTGTTCCTTAACCGATCGTCCTACCTTGCTTGTGACCACCACCCTTTTCTGCCACGTGGCACTGAGCACACTTGGTCTTGAAGATCTTAGCTCCAGCGTCGGGGTTACCAGCAGGAGCTTCTGCGAAAGTAGCCATGGCTGAAAATACTTCGCAACGTGGATCAAATCAACAAAGAGCGAAGCACAACACCGCCTGACTTGGATCCCAGGAAGCAACAATGCTCGTGGACAGGTTGGTGAGTGGCACACGGAAAGGGAGAAAGTGCTTGTGAAGGAGTGTTGTGGAGGACGAGGCAAAAAGTGTGATCCTCGTTTGAAGCACGTGCTCTGCTCAGCCTAGTTGGTCCAACCTTCCAGCTCACCAAGACAGGAAGGATCTGTTCTTCCTGCGCCAAGGGACAAAGGCCCAGCAGCTGGAGCAAAAGGGCGAGATGGTCCCACCGGAGCTGGAATCCAGGTTCTGCTGACCGTCCGATGAAACGAAAGTCTCCCCGATTGGAGAACCATGTACCCCAAGGCCCTGTTCGGTAGCCTTCCAGTCACACTGGGCGCACTCGAACTGGGGAAGCCTACGATTTGTTTCGTAGCCTCGGGCCTCCACTCACACTGGAAGGAAGTCTCGTCCGTATTTGCAAGAAGTTACCATGTGTTTATGAAGAAATTCAATAACATTTTTCCACTTCTGTACGAGGCTGCCCGATCAACAAACAAAAAATCAGCCCGACAAATAGAAACCCCTCGATATGGAAAAAGGAAAAATATGAACGGGATCTCTCACCTTTGAACAAACGGATCAAAATGTATTAATTTGACCCGAAAGGACACTAACGAGACGTATACCCTTCAGCATGCCACTCGGAGCAGGCCTGCCTGGGTGGAACTAGAAAGCAGAAATGGGTTAGACTTTCACTGATGGTCGAGTTTGCCTGTGCTCGCAATTTCGTAGTAAGTGTCCTCGCTCTCACTCTGACTGGGTTTCTTACGCGTTCGGAAGCCAAGTCACACTGGGCAGGTCTGGTGTTCTAATAACGATTTGGTGGGCTTTAACAGGGTTCGAATTTGGGCGAGGAAGATCCCCCGCACCAGCCGCAGTATGACTTGCTGGGCTACCGAACAGGGCCCAAGTTTGCGGCGGAGCTTTGCCAGCGAAGCAGGCGGCGAAGTTTTAAAGTACATCGTCCAATAGAAGATAAGTGCGCAATACTCGCTATAACAGAATCGGTTATTCTCAGTTATTAGTGAAAATGTGCAGAATGAAAAACGAGTAGAGGAACTCATTTCACAAGTCAATGCCTTGACAAAAAGATACAGGTAACTTAGCCAGGCAGGAACCTTGATAATAGAGGTTTGCTACGGGTATAGAAACAGAGGTTAGCCTGGGTGTCTAGGGAGGCTGCACCTGTACCGTACTTCTGAAGTTCAAGAAGCAATGTAATTACATCAGACACGGCAGTAGGGAACGAAAAAATCCTTGTGATGATGAGTGCCATATGTACAAAACCTACAACTTGTGGAAAAACAGTGCTACAATAAAATATCTTGCAGTAGCGCATTAATGTACAACTTCTCTATGTTAATGTGCAGCATTTTTATTGGCTATCTAAAACAGAAAAGGCAGTCATGTTGAAAAACAATTCGAGAATGCAGGAGGACCCGGCTAAGGAAGAGGACTGTCAGGGGGGAAATAGGTACAGTTCCACGTGTACTGATAGTTGGCATAGATGCACTGACGGGGACTGGCCGACCAGCAGGATGAGGGGGCCTTGCAAGAGCCAGCGCCGCAGGAATTGGCAGTGCAGCACATGCACTGGCTGTAGCAGGAGTTGTAGTTGGCAGTGCGTTGAGCCGTTGTCCCCCCGAGCGTAGCAGCAGTTTGAGTGCACTCCTGGTCGCAAGAATTCCGCCTGTACGTGCAGCACGGACCTGTGACATTCCCAACTATGATCGAGCAATCCGAAGGAGCTTCAAATGGCCATGAGGGGTACGGGCAGATGGCGTGGGTACAGCCGTAACCAGTAAGAGGAGCCAGACCCATGCGGTTGAAACACGCGCTGACACACCCGCCGACACAAGGTACGTCTGAGATGAGCGGGACGGCGTAGTTACAGAGGGCATCGCAGTAGGACGGGTAAGTCACCATGTCAGCCCCGCACACTTGGAGAGACGCTGCGCAACCGCAGTCGACTATACCGATGCGGCCAATACAGGGGATGATCAGCTGCGTGCCAGGAACAAGCGGTGTTGATGCATTGACAATGAAATTTGCTGCTGCAATGTTGACAGGTGAAATGGAGGTGGGCGTGCAGCGGGGGACGTAGATGGAGGAGATATCGGCGAGGGTTTCACCGGGGCGGACGGTGTAAATGGAATAGGAGACGTTGGGAGTTCGCTGCATGGTGGTGAGGATGGGCGAGTCGATGCAGACCTGCTGGCCAATGCCAAGGTAGGGAGCCTGGCACTGCACGACGAGGGGGGAGAAACAAAAAGGGAGAGAGAGGTAAGGAAGCTGGCTCGCGTATGGGGTGGGTAGGCCACGGCACGTGCCCGTTTGGTTGGCATGGGGCAGTATGTGCTTGTACGGGAATGGTATGTGGTGATGTCTGAGGGTTCCGAGATAGAAGTAGCTGGCTGCCAGGGTTCGGGGTTTACCTGGACGCCAGAGTTTAGGGCAATGTGGATGAAAGTTACCTGAATGCCCGGGTTGATGGCTCACCTGGATGCCCGGGTTGATGGCTCACCTGAACGCCCGGGTTGATGGCTCACCTGAACGCCCGGGTTGATGGCTCACCTGGATGCCGGGGTTGATGGCTCACCTGAACGCCGGGGTTGATGGCTCACCTGAACGCCGGGGTTGATGGCTCACCTGAACGCCGGGGTTGATGGCTCACCTGAACGCCGGGGTTGATGGCTCACCTGAACGCCGGGGTTGATGGCTCACCTGAACGCCGGGGTTGATGGCTCACCTGAACGCCGGGGTTGATGGCTCACCTGAACGCCGGGGTTGATGGCTCACCTGAACGCCGGGGTTGATGGCTCACCTGAACGCCGGGGTTGATGGCTCACCTGAACGCCGGGGTTGATGGCTCACCTGAACGCCGGGGTTGATGGCTCACCTGAACGCCGGGGTTGATGGCTCACCTGAACGCCGGGGTTGATGGCTCACCTGAACGCCGGGGTTGATGGCTCACCTGAACGCCGGGGTTGATGGCTCACCTGAACGCCGGGGTTGATGGCTTGGAACATGGACATGGTGAGGTTGGCTGCATTCCAGATGGAGGGGCATGTGTCGCCCTGCATCACCCGGTACCACCCCGTGCAGTTGATGGTGGTCTGCACACAGAGAGGTTGGGGGGGGGGGGGGGGAGACAGAGATGAGATGGAGAAGAGGCAATATGTCAGAGCAGAAATAGCAGCGGACAGACTGAATGACGTGACAAGTTCAGTGGCACTCGAATCAGATGTAAGACCAACGGGAGGTGATAGAGGAAAGCAGGTTGGTGTTAGTGGTGATGCTGAAACTTACAGCGGATGATTTGGGCGCCACACACACGTAGCTTCCCACGACGAGGGCGCTGTTGCAGTTGATACCTGGGTTGAGGCTGCAGAGAAGACGAAGGAAAGAGAAAATAAGAAATATGAAGTGTAAACGAGATTTGTATGTCAACTTAAGTTGCAAGTGGGTTTAGGAGGTAAAGAAGAAGAACGTCGAAGACTGAATAAAAGGGGGCGGGGATTAATTGAACTTACTTTACAAAAGTTGAGGTGCTGATGACATATTTAACTGAGAGCGAAGCACACGTGTCTCCCATGGCCACTGCAACACTCTGCCCGCATTGTGTAGCTGAAGATGTAGAAGATGCTGAAACCATTTGAAGACATACTTGCTGTGACTTGAACAGGCGTTTGCACGATAAGCCAGGATTGATTGCACCAAGTGCAGTCAGTGAACCACTGAAGTAAGCGTTTGCAATAGATGAACAGGTATCGGAAGGCCGGACGGTGTATGTGTTGGTGCAATATGAGGATAAGGAAGTGACTGTTCCCGACACTGTAAGTGCAATTCCGGGAGGAAGGTACTCTGTAACGGAGCAGTTAATGAAAGTATTCAGGTTTGTCAGTGTAGTGGTGGAAATGCCGAAAGCTGTCGCGACCGCAGTGCAGTTGTCGCCAGGGAGGGTAACATAAGATTTCGCGAGTCCAGCCGCAGGCATGCACGTCGGCGAACCGTCGACAGCAGCGCCGATGGCGTAACCCGCAGTGCACGCGCATGTGTACGTCCCGTCGCCCACATCCGTGCAAGTTCCGCCGCCGCAGGGATTCACGAGAGCCGTCGTGCAGGGACTTCGCGGCACGCACTTGGACGTTGGCACTCCCAACATCTCAACCATATTCGCTACCGCACTGCAGTTGCACCGCGGAACCCCGCCGCTCATGTAGCAACTGCCCCCGCCGCACGGGTTGATCATCCCCGGGCACGTGGCGGAACCAGTAGTGGAACCAATGGTGGATCCAGTGGTGGATCCAATCAGCAGAGAGGAGGAATCGGTGAACGTCGGATCGCTGAACGACGCAACCGTAGCGGAGGTTGTGGTAGTGGTGGTGGTGCTTGTGGCGGTGTCGAAAGAAAGGGTGGAGGAGAAGAGCGACGACGAGAGGTCGTCCACTTTGTTGATTTTCCACTTGCCGCCCTTGTCCGACGAGAAGCGCGCCGGCTGCTGCCCCGATGGGAAGTAGACGGGGTACATGGCGGGGGTTCTGCCCGGAGAAAGGGGAAGAGGTGGCAAGGCGCGGGGGAGGTGAGCGAATTGGACGCACGTGGGGAGCAAAAGGTATGCTGTTGATAACCGGCAAACCACGACATCAAAGGTTACGCGAGAACTTTCGCCGCGCAATGAAAACAAAGGGAGCGTGACACTTACGAGAGCAGCCCGCATTTCCCGCGCACGTCGGGCGTCATGGCGAGGTACATGTAGCCGTGGTCGCCCCACGTCTCGAACCACGAATTCTTGATGATCCAGTAGCTGCCGTTGAGGCTGGGGCCGGTGTAGTTAAAGCCCACGACCACCACCGCGTGGTTCACCTCCGTCGTGCACAGCCCGTTGTAAATGTTCAGCACGTCGCGACTCTTGTACATCTGCGGCAACGAAGGACGAGAAACACCGGAAAGCGGCGGGGGAGAGAGACGCGTCAAAACTATGATAAGGAAAGTGGCACGGGGAACACCCAAGAACAAAGATTGGGATTTCGGCTCTAATGTTGCCGATGGAAGCAGAGGCGCATGAAAGCAATGACGTGCTGAACACCGTCAACTGATGTCGTCGCGCATTCGGCTTACCAAATCAGAGTCGAAGGATGTGCGGAGGCGGAACGATTCGAAAACACAGAGAGAAAAGGAACCACGTGGGGAAGATTCGGAAACATGGTATGAGAAATGGGACCCGGTGAGCGTACCACAAAGTCCGTGGACGACGCGCTAAGGAATGCGACAACGGGCTGCTTCGTCACGGCCTTCATGAGCGCCATGGCGTTGAATGCCGGCACCAGCTCCCACCCCGTGATCTGCGCCGTTGACGGCATGGTTGTGTCGAGCAGACACGTGGCGGAATCGTAGGCGAGGTAGGGGTAGTTGGCGTTGGACGTGACGCCGCCGTTGAAGAGCACGTAGGAAAAGGCCCACTCGGGCCACCCGCCCTGGCAGCACTGCTTCGTCGCGCAGTCGCACACTTGCTGCGGTGACAGCTGTTCTGCTGTGGCATTGTTGGCAATGGACCACATCATGGCGACGGAATCGATGGCTGCGATCGCCCAGCAGCTTGAGCACTGCGAAAAAAAAAAAAAAAGTGAAGGGAGACGAAGAAGTTCCGTGAGTTTTGGCGTCAGAAGTAATCCAGCAGCTTAAGACAGTGTCCGCAAATCAACGGCCGAGAGACGCTACTGCTGATTATGTTATCTTATGGAGATGCAAGACACAGCAAGAACACGGAACGAGAGTCTGAATGAAGACGCATTCTTGAAAAAAGGAAGTCTGAAAACGAAAAGACCACAGCAAGCGGGAGTGGCGTTGTGAATCACCAACCTGAAACTGCGTCTGGATGGGCGTAATGGAAGTAGTCGTGCGCCAGTCGAAGACGGGCGGCGGCGTGACGCTCTCCCAGCGGTAGAACGACATGTTCACAACCGCCATGCTCGGCCCCGAGTTAAGCGGCGGCGCCGACAGCCCGAGCTTCGTCGCCGTGTCGAGCAGCAGGCGGTCATTGCGTTCTTCGACATTGTCGGAGTCGCTCTCAGTGCTCTGCGCGTCCGACGCGAGAGTGTCTTCCCTTAGAATGCGCGAGCCCTTCTCGTGTCGCGTGAGACCACTAAACTGTGAGACATATGAAGCTGGCGAGCTGTCTGCCAATAATACTGTGCTGATTATGAGAAGTAAAAGGACGAGGGACTCGACAAGATGGCTGTGCCCCATTTCTTACACTCCGCTCTAATAGGAGATTTTACGGATGCGCTTAACACATTCGAGGGCACGTACTTCCGAAGAAATCTAGTAGCTTATGACTCGTACCACTGGGTGAATGTGGAAATGCTCGTCGTGCGATGCTTGAAAATGTTGAGCTGTAAGGCTTCAATGAGGACCGGAGGGAGTGGAGTGCACTGTGATATTCAATAGGTCTCTCAAAGGTACGGTACGGAGGGCTCCCGTAACCAGTTAGGGCGCGTCATAATTTCCTGACTCTGATTCGTTCACTGCGGTCAAGCACGTTACAGGACGGTTGAAAACAAGAAATAATGGTGAAATTCCAGAACTGCTCCCGACCCTGTTTTAACGTACTGAACCGCGCTAAACGAGCCGTGAACGTATATTGATAATTCGCCGTGTTCTGAAACTCCCTGCTACCAACCACCCCTCTCGACTGTGGCTGGGGAGAGGAGGTGTTGTAAGTTGGAAGTCTGTTGGTCGTTATCCTGAAAGCTGGCTTGCTTTCCCACGTGAATGCTGTGGAGAGGTTGTTGGGGATTTTGTTGTGTTGTGTGGGTGTTGGTTGGGGGCAGGAGGAGTGCGGGAGGGGTGGGGGGAAGCAAGCGCATGTGCTTGGTCTGAACCGAAGTGCGCCCAACCGATGTTTGGTCTGTTACAAAAGACAGAAACCGAACTGCGAAGCAGCATGTCTTGTCGCGCTATCAGCCAAAACTGATGGGCATGTCGCGCGCGCTGCCCTGAAGAGAGAATGGTGGAGGAACCTGACCTGAACCAAATTTTCATATTCTTTGTACTGTACACTATGCAATATCCAGACCCGTCAAACCCTCACCTCACTGTACCGTGCAAGCGACCGAACTTCAGCCGTCCTTGAACCCTCTGTTCCACGCTAGGGTGTTGATGAGGTTCAGTTACAGGATTCCAGGGACCTTGATGAGATACACCTATCACACCGAACCATGGTCGTCGCTACACATACGCTAGTAAGTATTTCCCTGCAACCTCTAGGTCAGTTTGGCTCACCCGGACTATTGAAAGGCCGGAACTGGTACGGACTGGATTCGGAACGGGCTAGTTCGTGGGTTACCGTGTTTCTGCTCTCCTCGCGCCCTCAACCTTCACTTCCTTATTCATTACCCCTTGCAATGCTTTAGTTTCCAAACTGAAGTCGGTTAGAATGCTTTTTGAAATACTAGCAACTCCCGTAGGCTATGGGTGCATTCCTACCTCGTGTCAGACACGAAGTGGAGGTTTGGATGGAGGTTCGGAAGACCCGAAGTGGCCCACTTCGGGTCTTCCGAACATTGGTTTGCTAGAGTTCCAGCTCACTTCGGGTCTTCCTCAACTTCACTTCGTGTCTGACCTCATGTCAGACACGAGCAAGGAATGCACCCTAATGTTGCCGTTCACAGAAAGGTGGAACTTAGCTGCTCACCTCTCATTAGAGACCAATGGGTAGGGCTGCAAGAAACGTTGCAAGGACGTCGAGCATGCTCACAAAATGTTTCATTTATTCTGACGTTTACTGATTATCTAGACTACTTAGAAACCCACGGCCAAAGATGTGTCACTCCCAGATATTGTGTCTAATTATCTTTATGTTTGTTACTAGAAGAACGCTGCCGAAGATGTGTGAATGCCGCAAAACAACCAAGTAACAGAGCCGACAAAAACAGCGGAGCAGTCCTTTGCACACCAGCTAGTGCAGTAATATACAGTGCAATTTGACCGAACTGGGCAGCTCAGCGGACATGCAATTTCGTGATCTGATAAGCAACAAAGGCAGCATTGCGAAGGCGCTTTTTCTTTCCAGTACACCCTAATGCTCACTCAACCGCCCACTTTGAACACGTACTCCGCCACTCCATACACCCAATGGTCGACATTCACAGCCAGCGGCCCCCTCGTTACTGGCCCACGACAAAACCAGGATATTCTTGACCTCGAATAAGTTTTCGAGTTTCGAAGACAAAACACGCTGGGCTAACCAGAATTATGGCGACTGTTCTAGATTCAGTCCCATTTTGCCCCTAGAATGCAGGTGACCGAGAGAGGAGCACAGGTAAAGATAGGGAACCGGACTGCAAAAGACATCAGGTGTACACGAACTGTACAAGGCCTGCCATGGCACCACCCAAGCCATACCAGCCTTTGGTGTAGAACGGGAAAATCTCCGTGTACACTTAACAGACATGAGAAGTTTAAGATCTGCTGTTTCAATCAACAAAGAGCTCACAAATATATGTGTGTGTTACGGGTGCAATGAATCGAAGTAGCGAGAATTGCACTAAGGTGTCAAAACGAGTACAAAATGTGAGCGAAGGCATGAGCGAACATTTATACGCGAAACATGCAAACGGTAACGCGGTGCGTACGAGCTAGCTAGTGCTACGCTGGAAACGAGGATCGGGCTAGTCCCGAAACGTAGGCCGACACGGCCAGGCCAGCAGTGCGATGTTTGGTGAAACAGTGCGCGCGAAGTCGGCGAAGCCCCGTTAGCAGTAACGAGCGAACAACGGCTGTTGCTGTATGCGATGTAGTCGGGCTCCGTAAGGAATGCCGAGAAAATTCCTTTCACTACCCCCCCTTTCAAGAAGCCCCCTCCGCTACGCGAGTGCGTGTATATCACGGAATCCCCAACTCCTCAGGTACACTTGCAGGGCAGGGTGGTTTTCGATGTTGGCTAGGGGCACCCAGCTGTCCTCAGTTGGCGTGCGATCCTTCCAGCGAACGAGGAATTCAATCCTCTTGATTCCCGTGGGGTGTCGAATCCGATGGCTCAGGATTTTTTCGGGCGCGATGATCGGCTCCGATGCAGGGCGATGTCAGAATGTTGTATTTGTCTAGCCTGCAGTGGGGTACTCTACAGCGAGTACAGCCCAATCTAGGGTTTCCTATATGTACTCAACTGCTTGCTAGTGCAATCCTTCTTTTTCTACTGCTAAACTTCTTGCTTAACTTTCGACATGGTATCAGAGCAGGTCGACCCCCCTCGGTCGATCCTGTGGGTGGGCCCTGTCAGAACTAGCAGTAGAAAGTAAGAATGAAGAAAGGAGAAGGTTCACTAGCAAGCAGTTGAGTACATATAGGAAACCCTAGATTGGGCTGTACTCGCTATAGAGTACCCCACTGCAGGCTAGACAAATACAACATTCTGACACACCCCCATAGCCAAAGTGGGGTGTAATCAGCACAATGAGCAGGTATAGCAGGAGTTCACAATAAGAAGCAAAGCTAGAGGTAATCACAGCGGGCAAGTGAGGAGGAGGAGGGACTGTGAGAGGAGAGAAGATGAGAGACGGCGGCTGAAGCTGCAGACACACGGGCAACAGGAGCTGCTGGCACAGTGGCTACCGGGACAGTGCGCCCCGGACTACTGGAGTAACTGGCTCACGGGCTACGACGAGCTACAGGAGCAACGGACCCTCGGGCGACAGGCGCAGCAGACTCTCTGGGCTACCAGGACAGTGCGCCCCGGACTACAGGTGCTGCGGACGACAAGACAGCAGCCTCCGCTCAACCTCCTCCAACTGTCCCACACACCCCCCACACACCCACTGCTTCACTCCTAACTCCACTTGCACGCCACCCCCCTAGTACCACTCCTTCGGCTCCCACACACCCACCCCCCTCAGCGGCAGCTGCAGCACTGGGAGACGGAGGAGGAGGAGGAGTAGGGGACGACGCACAGAAACTGCACCCCCATACCCCCCACCCCCAAACCCTAATTCAGGAGAACGGGCAGCAGCAGGGGTGGGGCGCCATCAGAAGCACGGGGGACAGCGGGCAGCGCAGGGGCAGAGAAAACAGGGCGCCCACGGGCCTGGCGCAGCCCGTACGAACCGCGTGCGGGCGGCCCGAGGCGCGCCCTGGCCTGGCGCAGTCCGTACGGGCCGCGCGCGGGCCTGGCGCTGCCCGTACGGGCCGCGCGCGGGCCTGGCGCAGCCCGTACGGGCCGCGCGCGGGCCTGGCGCAGCCCGTACGGGCCGCGCGCAGGCTGTACGGGCCGCGCGCGGGCCCTACGCAGGTCGCGCAGGCCGCGACGGGCGACGGGGGGTGACGCGCGGGTCCCCGTCGCCCGTCGCAGCGCCTCCCGGGAGCGACGCGCGGAGTGACGGGGCAGAAAGCCGCCGCGCGCCTCGGGGCGCACGGCGGGCAGAAAACCGCCGCGCGCCTCGGGGCGCACGGCGGGCAGAAAACCGCCGCGCGCCTCGGGGCGCACGGCGGGCAGAAAACCGCCGCACGCTCCGAGCGCGCGGCGGAATGAAAAATCCGTCGCACGCCACGGGGCGTGCAACACACAGAGTAGCAGTAGCAGCGGAAGCAGTGAGGTGGTGGGCCCACCCACAGGATCGACCCAAGGGGATCGACCTGCTCTGATAGCATGTCAGAACTAGCAGTAGAAAGTAAGAATGAAGAAAGGAGAAGGTTCACTAGCAAGCAGTTGAGTACATATAGGAAACCCTAGATTGGGCTGTACTCGCTATAGAGTACCCCACTGCAGGCTAGACAAATACAACATTCTGACAGGCCCCACCCGATGCTTCCGCTGCTCTACTGCCTGTAACGCGCCCCGGGCGCATGCTGTTTCCTGCGTGCCGCGCGCTCCGAGCGCGCAGCGATTTTTTCTTCCCGCCGCGCGCTCGGGGCGCGCGGCGGTTTTCTGCCCCGTCGAACCGCGCGTCGCCCCCTGCCGACCGTGGCGTCGC